ACCAGGAACTCATAGTGTCCGTACCTGGTTCGGAATGCCGTCTTGGGGATGTCTTCTGCTCTCACTTTTACCTGATGGTAACCTGATCGTAGATCTATTTTAGAAAAGACCTGTGCACCCTGCAACTGATCGAAAAGGTCATCAATCCGGGGAAGAGGGTACTTGTTTTTTAATTGTTACCTTGTTTATCCTTCTATAATCAATACACAGTCTCAACGTTCCATCCCCTTTTTTTGCAAAAGTAACCCCGGCACCCCATGGGGAAATGCTGTGTCTAATGAAGCCACTGTTTTGTAGCTCAGTGATTTGTTTCCTTAGCTCTTCCATCTCGATGCGGCTCATTTGGTAAGGAGCTACCGAGATGGGCTGGGTTCCTGGCTGTAAGTCTATGGTGAACTCGACCTCTCTGTCCCCTGGTAGACCGGGCAGTTCATCCGGAAATACGTCTAGAAAGTCTCGGACTACTGGAATCTCTTGGATACAAACTTCTTTCTTGGGTTTACCTAGTTAGGGAAAATACAATATTAAGGCACTGGGAATTAAGAAGAAAAGAATTTGTCATTAGGGAAAATCAGTACCGAATAATTTTATTAACTTGTAAATGGCTCCTCGTTGGGAGGATTAAATACAATCTTTTTGTTAAAGCAATCTATAGTGGTGTGATACACCGCTAGCCAATCCATTCCTAGGATTACATCAAAATCCCATGTGTCTAACCCTATCAGGTCTACCCTCAATTCCTATCTGCTATCTCCACGGCACATGCCCTGTAGACAACCTCTCCTAGCAATGTCTCCCCTACTAGCATGTAGGAGGCAATGGCAGCCCTCTGCTCAGGAACTACTCCCAAGGTCTCGAAAGCTCTTTCAGTCTCTGCCAGCTAGTATTGGGCCTCTTCAAAAGAGGATCCCCCTGCAAAAGTAGAAGGGTTCAGTCTTCTGTACCTCTCTATGAAGCCGGGGTCGATCAAGGAAGTAGCGGGGTCCCGAGGTAGAGGAACTTGGGCCGGCTGAGGGTTAACTGGGGGACCCTGTGGTGGCACCTGCTGATGTGGTGGGGGTACTGGAATGTGCTGTGGCGACGCCCGCTGGTACCGTGGCTGTGGTACAGGGTCGTACCGCGGCTGTGGCGCCGGGTGGTACTGTGGAGGAACAGGCTCCTGCCGGGGTGGCTCGAGATCAGCCTACTGTAGCGGGGGCTCAACCTGCGCTAGCGGAGGAGGTCCGGGTAACTCCCTTCTCTCCTCTTGCCTTTGCTGGGCAGTTACGAGAGCCTCCACCATCTCAAATAGTCTGTCTAAATCCTCCCGAAGCGAATTATCTTGGGCCGCTTGGTTTAGTGGGGGCCTTCCTCTCCTCATTCCCGTGTACTCGTCTTCACAAGTAATGATTGAGTAACGATATATCAATGAGTATTACTCTAAGGCACTATTGTGTAAGGGATGGGTCCGAGGAAATGCGGCTCTGATACCAACTGTAACGACCCCGGAAATATTAAAATGAAATGAGTATTTAAATATATCGAATGCGGAAGCGAGATCAAAATTTTAGTTAACATCCCTTACACGAAAAACCAAAAACGTACTTAAAATATAAAAGATTAAACTAACTAAGAGAGGAACTCGAAAATAAGACTATGAGTATGACTACAGAGTCTCTAGGTATCCCCTTCGTCGTCCTCCTGCGGAACGGGCTCGGGAACCATGTCTTCCTGATCTGAAATGGTTAAATAAGGAGTGAGCTACACTAGCCCAGCAAGAACATCACGATATCTCACCGTCACGGAGGTAAAGGTGGGTAGAAAAACACAAAAAGACCAATGGAGCACAATTTACCATAAACTCGTTTGTTAACATGAAAACCTTTACCATCCACTTACCTTGGTGGAATTTATGAAAACAATATGAGAAAAACAATAACATCATCATAATCATTGAATAATCTAAGCTGTAAAACATAACACTTATCACGCCTCTTGTAATTCAATCATTGTACAACATCTCCTTTTTTCTCATTTACCAGCCTACTAGTATCCGTGGGGGTCCATAGGGGTTCCGCTACCCGTTAACCTTTAACATTCATAATCAGTTTCCAGGGCCGTCCCCATACCCCGTCCGGTATGGGCGCCAAAACCATGAACCTCAATACCCCGTCCGGTATGAGGGTGAAACGGGCCGTCCCCATACCCCGTCCGGTATGGGCGCCAAAACCATAAACCTCAATACCCCGTCCGGTATGAGGGTGAAACGGGCCGTCCCCATACCCCGTCCGGTATGGGCGCCAAAACCATAAGATCTCCATACCCCGTCCGGCATGTGAGACCACAATCCCGGTAGGGTTCCCTACGGACCCGGTCCGTCCACCATCTCCCAGGATATCTAGTCAGGCTGACCCCCATAATACAATTATCAGTCTATACAATCTTTCATTTTCCTTTTCCTCAATCAGCATCATCAATTCACATTTAAACAAGCAAATCGTAATTCATACCAACAGACAACATACAATATCAGTTTTTTCAGTCATTCAACCCATAATTAATAAAAACGTAGTACATGCACACAAATCTGTAAAATGAACACATCAAACCTCATTCTGCATTTAAAGCTGTAAACAGGCCAAATAACAGTAAACCACCAATCACACTAGACTCGGGCTCCATTAGCTACCTTAAGCAATTTCACACATGCATTAATTCAAGAAATACCGTTTTATCATTTTGAACTTTAATACCGTGATAGGAAATAAGGTGAGGGGTCCTTACTTGTTTTCGAGATCCGAATACGATTCACAGTGCGCCTGCAGGCTGTCCCTAATTTTCCCTGAATTTTTCTCGGGGAACTGAAACACACTAACAGTACCTGCACGTGTTCCAAAAAAATTCCAAATTAGGCCCAGGGCCTCTTTCGGCCCAAATCGCAACTCCGGCACGGCGGCTCCGCCGTGCTCCGGCGACGGCGCCGCCGCTGGCGGCGGCGAGTCGCCTCGGGTTGGCTGTTTTCGGCCGTTTTCGGCCGAATTCGGCCACACTCGCATTGGTCCTTGTCAGAAAAGAACCTTAGGGCCCTCGGGGGGCCAAAAAATCACGGAAAAACGGAGCTTACCGGCGGCGGCGCTCTCGGGTGCAGCGGCTCTCCGGCGAGGTTCGTGTTTTGGTGATTCGGCTCCGGTCAACCTGTAGAGAAAAGAATGGTGATCACGGTGATATAAAAATTGCATCGAACGGAGGCCGGGAAGGGCCTCGTCGGAGGCAAAAACCGAGAGGGGGCGCGGCGGCGCCGCTGGGCTTCGGCCGCGTATTCCGGCCGTTTGGCCGGGATTTCGGTTTCGATTTGGCCATAGGAGGAATCAGTGGGGAAAAACGAGTCGGGGGTATGAAATTTACCTCGATCGGCGGTCGGAAATTTCCCCGGTGCGGCGGCGAGTGGCGGCGGGTGGCGGCGGTCGGCCTCTGGTTCGTCTTCTCCGGCGAGCGGCGGGCGGCTAGGGTTTGTGGTCTGGTGTGGAGGTTCTATTTATAACCCCTTGCCTTTTGATCACAGCCGTTCATTTTCTTTTAATCTGGGCCGTTCGTTTTTGATTGAATCTGGGCCGTCCGTGCGATTGAATCTGGGCCGTCCGATCGCGTGATTGATCTGGGCCGTCGGATCGCACCCACGCGGATCGCCAGCGTGGCTCCTTTTGGAGTGACGCGATCTTGCCACGTGGCAGGCACTGGTTGGCCGGGACTGCTGACGTGGCTGCTGACGCGGCTGCTGACGTGGCCCCCCTTTTTTTTTTTTTTTTTTTTTTTTTTTTTTTTTTTTTTTTTTTTTTTTTTTTTCTTCCCCTCCTTCTTTCCGGGTGCTACACTAAACTGTTGACTGTGCTTACTAGCGGTTATCGGGTTCCCTGAATTTTTCTTTCAGAATTAAAACGTCCTATAAATATCTACAAATGTTCCAAAAAAGCTAAAATCAGTCTCAGGACCCAATTTTGGCTAATTTTGGAATTCCGACAAGTCAACCTCGAGTCGGCTGTTTTCGGCCATTTTCGACTGATTTTACATCAATCCCTGCGAGAAAATACGTT